TAACTTTCTAAGATTAATAACACATATTTTGAAAGATTATTAGTAAGTACTTGGAAAGGAAAAAAAAAATTAAAGAAAGGAAAAGAACAGCCATAAAAATGAGAATTACATCCTAAAATTTCAATCAGTGACAGGCCTCTATAATCTTCTCAAAAAACCATATTCAGATGTCAAAAGGTTTATGAATGCAATCAGATTCTTGGACTTTTCCAAAAGTTTCAGGTAGAAATTCTCAGCTGCTTACAGCACGAGAGTATAGCGCATAAGGAAGTTGTGACGATGTTTTTTGATACCCTGCATTTTCAGGGCCAAAGGTCACATGTGGTTTTAGTATTTAATGTTTCAGAATTTATCCTGCTATTAGATTGAATGATTTGTAATGTAGATAATTTCACATCATTTTATGGCAGTATAACACTGTCAGAATTTTTAACAGCAATAATCACTGACCACCTTTTCCAACTTAGGCCACCATTTAGATTAAGATACTGGCACTTTGGCAAAAATCTTCCAATACCAATAGTGATCCCAACTAAGTTCAACAAAGAGATTAAAATTTCAGAATAAATTGCTACCTACCAAGTACCATACAGCATCACATACATGACCCTCAAATTAATTAATCCATTCACTACTACAAATGTGAATTGAACTAGAACTAAACTTGGAAAACATTGACATGCCAGACAAACAAAAGGTTACACTTACTTGCTGGGCTTCCCCATCAAGCCAGGTAAATGTCAACCGCTTTTCCTTCAGTGCAACAGCCGCTAGCGACGACGGCTGATCTTTATCAACTGTGGACAGTGCTTCTTGGATCCTGCGCACAGTCTTTATCATAGTAATGTACTCCGTTTAGTAAACTAGAAGAATATAATAGCATTTGGGCATGCGTACATGAATCTTTCTGTTATATTCAATGTCAAATTTTGAATGAGTATACTTTCTGTGTCATAACTTCGAATGAACATCATGAATCTTTCCCAACGAAGTAGCTAAATCATTTCTAGGAAATAACTACCAAGTAGGGATTTAATTTAACATAACAAGCAGGGCAAACAAACTCACTGCACGCATTTTGTTGAGTTCTGGGCTTGATCTTCCTACTAGAATAACACAGTACCAAATCGCCGTTTCATTTCCAGCACGAGAATAGCCGCGGGCATCACAACCCAGCTCCATGGATGTCACACTTCTCAATTGTGGAAGCTCTAAAAATAAGGAACAGAGAATAAACCAATGTATTACAGTTAGTTTCACAAAATCCTAGAATGTATAATCAGGTTTGTGATATACATAAACCAAACCAACCCTTAAGTCCCATCAAATGGGGTCGGCTACATGAATCATTCTTCTCCACGCGGCCCTATCAAAGGCCATTTCGTTAGTCAAATTAAGTAGATCCATATCTCTATTTACAACGCTAACCAACGTTAATCTAGACCTACCTCGTCCCCTAACACTTTCATCTACCGTTACACTATTGCATCTCTTCATTACTGTCTCTGTTGGTCTCCGTTGAATATGACCAAACCATCTTAATCGATTCTCTCTCAACTTATCTTCTATCGGTGCTACTCCTACCCATTCCCAAAACACTCATTCCTAATTCTGTCTTGTCTAGTCTTGCCACACATCCACCTCAGCATTCTCATCTCAGCCACACTCATCTTATCTATATGTTGTTTCTTTGTCCCCCAACACTCCGTCTCATACAACATCGCTGGTCTAATAGTCATTCTATAGAACTTACCTTTAAGTCTAGTGGGTATTCATTTATCGCACAGTACCCCAGACGCACTTCTCCACTCACACCATCCCGCCTTAATCCTATGGGCCACATCCGCATCAATCTCCCCTGCTGTTGTGATAATATACTCTAAATAACAAAAATGTTCACTCTTAGGCAATTCTTGGTTCTCAATCTTCACCTCTCCTCTGCTTTCATTGTTATTGTTACTAAATTTACACTTCATGTACTCTGTTTTAGTTCTGCTTATCCGAAATCCTTTAGATTTAAGAACTTTTCTCCAAATCTCCAACTTTGTATTAACTCTTTCTCTAGTCTCATCCACTAGCACTACATCGTCTGCAAAAAGCATACACCATGGCACGTCATCCTAGATATTTCTCGTCAACTCATCCATAACTAAAGAAAAAAGATAAGGACTTAAGGTAGATCCTTGATGTAACCCTACAGTGATAGGAAATTCATTTGTCTCTCCAGCAGGCGATCTAATAGTGGTCACCACCCCTTCATAAATGTCCCTAATCACATCAATGTAACCTTTTGTCACCCCTTTCTTCGCCAACACCCACCATATTATATCCTGGGGCACTCTATCATAAGCTTTCTCAAGGTCGATAAGCACCATATGAATGTCTCTTTTCTTTTCTCTGTACTTTTCTATTACTCTCCTCAAAAGAAAGATAGCTTCCATTGTTGACCTGCTAGGCATAAATGCAAATTGATTCTCTGACACATCTGTTATATCTCGCAATCGACGTTCTATCACCCTCTCCTACACTTTCATTATATGACACATTAGCTTGATTCCTCTATAATTGTTGCAATTCTGGACATCTCCTTTATTCTTATAGATTGGAACTAAAATACTCTTCCTCCACTCATCTGGCATGTTCCTAGTCAGCAAAATTTTGCTAAACCACCTAGTCAACCAAGCAACCCCCTTTTTACCCAAACACTTCCAAGCTTCAATAGGGATATCATCTGGTCCCAAAGCCTTTTTTGATTTCATCTTCTTAAATGCAATCTCCACTTCAAAGTTCCTAATCCTGCGATAGAACCTATAGTCTTGGTTTATCGTATTATTGGCTATTTCTTCCCTATTGCCGTACCTCCATATTCCTCATTTAATAGTTTCTCAAAATAGTTTTTCCATCTTTCCTTAATCTCTTCATCCCTCACCAATACCGTAGAATCCTCACTCTTGATGCACTTAACTTGATTAAAATCTCTTGTTTTCTTCTCCCGTATCTTAGCAAGTTTGTATACCCTCTTCTCTCCCTCCTTACTATCTAGTCTAGTGTATAGGTCATCATAAGCTTTCAACTTAGCCTCTCTCACTACTTTCTTGACCTCCTTATTAGCCAATCTATAGCTCTTAAGGTTTTCCTCAGTTCTATCCTTTTGCCACTGTTTAAAACACTCTTTTTTTGCCTTAAGTACCGTTTGGACCTCTTCCTCCACCACCAAGTTTCCCTAGAGCTGGGTCCCGTTCCTTTCGACTCTCCAAGCACTTCCCTTGAGATTCTCCTTATACAATTGGCCATCGAGTTCCACATAGTGTTAGCATCATGTTTCAAGTCCCAAGTATCTTTCTTCTCCATTCTATTCTTAAATATTTCTAATTTATCCCTTTTTAGGTCCCACCATCTCGTCCTACAACGCCCACTATTCTTCCTAGCTTGGTATTGCCCTCTAAAACATAAATCTAGTACCAAGATCCTATGTTGAGAGGTCAGGCTTTCTCCAGGAATCACCTTACAATCATTGCATTTTAGGCAGTCCACTTTTCTCACTAAGAAGTAATCTATTTGGTTCTTAACTGACCCTCTCTTAAAGGTTATCAAATGCTCCTCCCTCTTCTTATACATAATATTGGCCACCACCAAGTCAGAAGCTAACGTAAAATCTAAGATACTCTCTCCAGCCTCATTTCTGTCACCAAACCTGTATCCACCATGCACCCTTTTATAGCCTAGTTTATCTATGCATACATGGCCATTAAAATCACCACCTATAACCAGGTTCTCTCCTACGGGTATCTCCTGTAAGATCTCATCCATTTATTCCCAAAAATCCCTCTTAGTCTGATCATCTAATCCTACTTGACGGGCGTATACACTGATAATGTTCACTATATTCCCTCCAATAACTAGTTTAACTAACATAATCCTATCCCCTTTCCTAATGACCGCCACTACATTCTCCACAAGACCCTTGGCAATTAAGATTCCTATACTATTCCTGCGTCTATCCTTACCACTATAATGGGGGTGTTTGTTTCAACTTTTGAAAGCTAACTTATAGCTTTTAACATTGAAAAAGTTATTTTGGACTGTTTGGTTAAACTTATTTCAAACAGCTTCTGATTCTAACAGCTTATTTTAACTCAAAAAAGCTGATTCTGAGAAACTGCTCACCCCTTGCTTCTGATTATCTACTTCTGTTGTAGACATGTTAATTTATGGTTATACTCTTAGATTTTTTTTATTTTTTATTTTTTAAAAAATAGAAAAAGACCCAAATGGACTGTAGATTATTATTATTTTTTATGAGAAATGTAGACTAGTAATAAATAATAAAAAATAAAAATTAATTAAAAAAGCTATTTCACAGCTTATTTAACAAACACTACTCAACAACTTAAATCTATAATCCAACAGCTACACCAAACAGATTAACAACTTCTGATTAAAGTCATAATCTATAATCTGTTAAGCTATAATCTATAAGTTGTTTTAACAGCTACACCAAACGGGGCCAATACAGTTTAAAACCGGTATCCTTAATTTCTCTAGCTTTCTCACCCGTCCACTTAGTTTCTTGCACGCAAGCTATACTAACTCTCCTCCTAATCATAACATCTACCAACTCCATTGTCTTACCAGTTAAGGTCCCTATATTCCAAGTGGCTACCCTAAACCTATAGTCTTGGACTAGCTTCTTTACCCGCGCTCGTCAGCAAAACGCGGGAGCCTTTGCCCATTTTTCACCGCACCTAGGTGTCGATGCAGCGCCCCTTACTCACTTTTCGAAACACCCGGAGGCAAGTGCAACGCGTAACTTGAGGGAAACGACCTAGCATTTAAATGATTCAAAGTAGGATTCATTGTCATAAGGGATCCGAGCGGCTTTTTTACGTGAAATATAGACATAGTTATATCTTCATATAACTTCAAAGCTCTGTTACGTGCACTCGGAAACGGGTATCAGGTGCCTGCATGTGCTGAACTATCAAGTTCATCAAACCTTTTATGTCCAAGGACACCAGAACACAACTAGATTCATATACTATCAAGGGGATGCCACCCATATTTCACGCTATAAGAACCAAAACAATAAAAAACAACTCCTAGACATCAATATATTCAAATTTCTCAACAAAATTCAAAAAAAGATTCAATGAAGTCTCAAGACTCTTAACACCATCAAAACTTCTTCTATTAAGCTCCCTCCAGATGCTCCAAAATAAAATGGGAGGTCCTAACTGCCAGTTACCTCTTTTTTCTCTTTTCAACTTTGGCTACCCTCCAAGAAAGCAAAAGGTCCCAAACATTGAAGGGAACACCCAAACCATGTCAAACAAGACTAAAAATAAAAATAAGGCCCAAATGTCCCAAAAGATGTGATCCCACTCCCTCCTCACATACCACTAACAACAACCCCTCTATCAATTGTTATCTGTCTCGAGCTAGACAGGCCAGCTCCAACTTCTCTCCACAGCAAAGATGTCACCAAAACTGAATTCTCAAACACAAACCTCACATGATGGTGAAAACATACCCAACCTTCCTAATACCCTGTAAAAGGCCCACACCGATGCACAAAAACCTCCAAAGGCATCCAATCACCCCACCTACACCCATATTTTGCCAACACAAACCTTCTCCAAAATCTGTCCCACTCACACACAAAACTCCACAACACTTTCCCAAAAGAGCTTGATTAAGATTTCAAGATGCCAAATCCCTAACCACCCACTCAAATAAGGGAGCGAACCATATCAAATCAACCAAGTGGTTAAATATATCCCCCAGACCTACCCCAAAGAAAGTCCCTTCACAACTTTTTCAACCACTTCGCCACTAAGATTAGAATGGTAACCACCAAACCAAACCAAGCACTGTGTCCCAATTGAGTCGAATCGGCTACATGAATTCTTTTGTTCTATTCCGCTCTGTCAATGGCTATATGACAAATTAAATTTAATAAACTCAAATCATTTTTTACTACAACATCACATGTCAGTTTAGATCTTCCCCTCCTAACGTTTTCATTTATGGTGATCATATCACTTTTACTTATTGTTGCATCTACAAGTCTTTGTTGCACATAACAACCATCTTTATCAACATAAGGCTACCACCTTTTCAAAAATAGAAAATATATATATATCAAACTCAACCAAAAATTAATTCATCCAAAAAACCAGCAAGGAATTCCCTAAAACAATCGCAAACTCCAATTAATTAAAGGAATCACTAAAATAATCACCCACTTTTTAATTCATGCGCTCCAACCTCAAAAATTTTATAACACCACTACTTTCAAATACAACACAATATGCACAACCTTAAGGTTCAAACATTCACAAGTGAGGATCAAAAACCTGATATTTGCACTGAGGTTCATAAACATTTCTACCTCTTTTACTTGTCCTCCCTCCCTCCCTGGGAACATGTTTTAAGCCAACCCAAAAATGTCGATATTTCTACTAACAAATCTGTGACTTTCTCATTGTTTTAACAATTAGTATATTCATTTTCAAACTTTTTATGTTATATTGTAGCATTATTATTTTTTATTTTATTTAAGAAGGCTAACATATTCTGACTAAAGCCAAGAATTTACATATATGTAAAGGGATTTAAGCAACACAAAACTGACTCCTTAGCAACTCTATGTCAGAATGCAGATTGGAAATTTTGATGAGACTATCCTGTGTTTTTCTCTTTCCTTTTTTTATCGTTTATCCTCCGTGTTTTTATAGTTTAATATATTAAAAAGGTTGTATTTATGCCTTGGTTCATGGGAACAAAGAATGCTTTGTCTAATCTCTTGTCCTTGATAACCATAATCTCAACATAGAACAACTTACGAGCATTTAGTAGATCACAAAAGTAAACTAAATCAGCTAAAGGATATCTATAATAATATTTGTATAATAGCACAGCCCATTGGAACCAATAAACACAACCTAGTCAGTTTCCCAGTAACTCTCAAATGCAGACACAAGACAATCCCTCAAAAGCAACTTTGCAGGATGCATTGTTGAGTCATTTATTCTACTAAGTGGGAAAAATGGTGGACACTCTGCAGGCTTATACTCTCATATAATCTAAAGAAAAAGGGTTACTTTATAAGGATGGCCACATTTGACGAAAGATTCTACCACAAATTTACACAATACGGAAAAAGGGTTGCAACACAACATCTTATCAAATGAAAACAAAATCATAACCTGACAAGTTCTGTACAATTCGATTCATGTGAAGGAAATTATCAAGGAAGATTTCTACATAGGAAAACATGTACCGAGGAAAAACTTCAGAGTCAGATTAGCTGATCCAATGTTCCAAGAAGAAAGAAATGATTAGTTCAGTTCCCGGAAAAAAAAATATCAAAATATAATCTAGATTTTTTTTCCCTTTTGCTGAAGAAAATAACTACATAAAGGACTCTAGTCAGTGGATAAAAAAACTGATGACAGCAACAACCTCCAATAATCATGAAGCTAACAGTTTGCACTTGTCAATCACATGAGGTTTACTTGCACATTAGAATCACTGTAACAAGCCATTTACACAATGGTTGCACTCACTAGTAATATGACCGGGCAAATTTTGTTATAGTGTCAAGGCCCTAGATTATAAAACTTGATTAAGTACAAACAAACAGCATTACCTTGATGTTTATGCTGTTCCATTATATCTACAAACCATGAATTGTTGGCAGGTCCTGCAGATAATGTGCACTGCTTAGCTTGTTATGTACACATTATTTATGTTACGAAGAGTACCAAGAAAGACTATGAAACGAAATTAAAAAAAGAGGGACATACCATGGTACACAACAGGTTTAACACCATGTTCTTTCAAAAATACAATTGCAGGTGCAGATTCCACTCCAAACCTGTCGTTGATAATATGAACACTATCAAGATTATACACTATTTTGGCAAAAAATTATGAAGCACCACATTTTTTAAGGTGGAGTTTCACGATCAAGTTACCAAAGATTGGAAGGGGAAAGGGAACCTAAATTAGTCTCCCAAAAAAGAAGTACAGTCCAGTATGCTGGTTAGAGTAACCAATCTTTCTAACCAATCAACCCATTAGCCTGATGCATAACTGACGAAAAAGATGAAAAAATAATAGTCGATTCTTCTCCGAACTATTTAATAAGGAACAAAAAAATAGGGGCCTTCCAGAAAAAAGGAACAAAAAAGTAGAAAAAGAAAGAGAAAATTTCAGAAAGACATGAAGATTAAATATGAAAAGCAGTGTCGTCAGAATCGTTATGAAAAATATATGTATTGCGGATTCATATGTTGGTAGATTGAATCATGAGATACGTTTTTCATTGTATCAATTTCATATTGTATCACAATTTAACATGTATTTCTTGATTAGCTATCAATACCTTCTCTTTCACCTTTAGCCCTATTAACAGCATTTCGCAATGTCAATTGCCATTGCCCCCACTCGTTGAACAATCCAAAACCATATTATCAAAAAAGCCCATACCAAGGAGACCCAAATCCAAATAAACCCTCAAGCAAAAATGACTCCCATACTCCCTTTCCTAAAAAAAAAATTGAACAACTTTCATTAATCTAATTCAGGTGAAAGAAACAAAGAGCTCAAATACACAGACCATTTGAAATTGGGTTGAGGCCCAAGATTTGGGCCAAAAGGCTTGTTTGGACTATGACCATATACCTCATAACAAGTATGTTTAAGCTATACTCATCCAAGTCCTAAAGAAAGTCTTTGACTGCAAATTGGGAACCAAACGAACTAGCAACCGTGAAGTTGGGCTCAATTGAAAAACAAAAATCTTGTTTTATTTTTATATTTGCAATCAAATCTCATTAATCCTTCTGTTATATTAAATTTTGAATTTTCTTTTCAATTTCTTATGAGTTGAATATTTGGGTTTCTAATGAATGCATATTTACCTTTTTGTCAAATTTGTAAGTTTTTAGAGATTATTTTTCATGTCATTGGTTATATGCTTTAGTACTGCATTTTTTCAATATATTTATGTATCATATGAAAGTACTATTTATTTATTTATGTGTGAGTATCTGTATCGTGCTTGGCACGTGGCGAGCCCTATGGGCATCACGTCATCACCATCACACATCCACATGGCAGACCCCTAAGGCACCACGATGAGTTGGGGTTGTATGCCTAGCTAAAGCGGGGGCATGCACACCGCCAAGTATGAAAACAGGACCACAGCTCACTTTGATAGAGCTAGCTCACCTAGAGCTCTGCAACGCCCCCAAAATAATAACATTAAACCCAACAAATAAGACATGCATTGATATACAAAACTCCACATTCTTTCATTTATCAGAGTTTCATTACAAAAAGTATTACATGTTAACAACTAAAGCAAATGCCCTACAGGCTTACAGCTTTCCAAGTTAACACTTGGTTACAACAAAAGAGTACTAACTCATACACATTAAGCCCTTGGCTTGTATTTACATGTAATACATCAAAAAGTAAAACGTCAACATTATGTCCGCCTCTAGCCTCCCAAGCTATGTCCTTGGAGGTGGCATGCTTCCTG